TTCAAGTAAAGCTAGAGAGGTAGAAATCAAAATGAGAAGAAATACAGCAAGACTGTGTTTCTTTTTCTAGAGTGGGGAGTAATTAATTGATTTTATCCATGAAATCATTGTTAATTTGTTTCTCATCCTTCCCTTTTATTGTCCTTTTCATTCTCTAATCCCAGCTTTTTCAGACCTTCCTAATTACATTATTTTTAAGACAATATTTCTTATCAGGAATCATCTTCTTCCTTCTAGTGTTTCATAAAAGTAGCTGCCATTAAATATTTGGCCCCAGCACTTTATTACTGAATCACAGAATCACAGAACTACAGGTGTTGGAAGAGACCTCTGGAGATCATTAAGTCCAACCCCCCTGCTAAAACAGGTTCCCTACTGTAGGTTGCACAGGAACTGGCCATTAACTCCCCATTGTGCTGGAAATGTCTTTGACTGTATTCCATTAGGAGGATTTTCCAGCAGCAAAAACTGGCTTGAAAACCAAGCCACCAAACATGCTCTTAACAGAATATGCTTGACCTATTTGCATGTTCCATGTTTGGACTAGATGGCCTTCAGAGGTTTCTTCCAACTCTAAGGATTCTATGACTCTCATTTGAGCAAGATCTAAGATAAAATAACTCTTTGAGAGTGGAGAGGAGAGGTGAGGAATGCAAACTACAATGTAAAAGTATGGAAATAGTGCTGCTAATTTGCCACTGCTATTAATGCTATAATTCTTCCTGTTCTGTTTCCTCCCCAGATTTCTGCCATCATAGTGCACCCCAATTATGACCCCATATTACTTGATTCTGACATAGCTGTCATAAAACTTTTGGACAAAGCCAGAATCAGCAGTCGTGTTCAACCCATTTGCTTGGCATCTTCTCATGACTTGACTTCATCCACAGAAGACTTAAAAATAACAGTTACTGGCTGGAAGGTACTGGCTGATATTAAAGATCCTGGATACAAGAATGACACAATCCGCATGGGAGCTGTTCAGATGGTGGACTCACTGTTGTGTGAGCAACAGTATGAGGATAATGGGATACAGGTCAGCATCACTGACAGCATGTTCTGTGCTAAACAGGACCACACAGCCTTCTCGAATATCTGCCCTGCTGAGACTGGTGGGATTGCAGCCATAACTTTACCAGGAAAAGCATCTCCTGAGCTAAGGTGGCACCTGATGGGATTAGTGAGTTGGGGTTATGATAAAACTTGCAGCCTAGAACTCTACAGTGGTTACACCAAAGTGATTCCTTTCAAAGACTGGATTGAAAAGAACCTGAAATAAAAAGCTGTGTCTGGAAATGGCATTTTATAATTAACATGATATTTCTCACAGTCTGTTCTGCTTTAGGTTTTTTATCCCAGTGATGAACCACACCTGGGATAAGGTTAAGGCAGACACCCTGGTAATCACCCTGGATCAGACACTCCATCAGGCTACTCTCAATTCATGACTAAATGTCGTAGTGCATGGGAAGTTTTGCCATTTTTCACCTGTCTCCCCTGGTGGGAGGGTGATATCCTGCTCCCGAGTCTGATGTACAGATACAGGACAGCAAATTGTGATTGAAATTAATCTGTAGTTTGGAGTCCCCTAGAGAAGTCACTGGCAAGCCTCTCCCAAAGGTCAGTCTGACTGTCAGGAGTAGGAGGCTGCAAAGAGTAGCCTGAATTCATTATGTTGGATGAGCTTGTTAAGGTATGTGCTATCTCTATTGCCATAGTACAATGTAATCTTTTTCCCTCCAAAGTACTTTACATGTTTAAATAAACCATGGTTTGTTTGTTTTTTTAACATACATACCCACGTTTAAATTCCTTCTTCTTCTATCTGTGTCACACCCTAGGGGCTCTCTATTGCCCTTGTCTGTTTCCATGCGACTCTCACTGAGGCTCTTCATGCATGCTGAAAGGCAGCATCAGCACACAATTCAATTACTGCATAAATAACAAGGACCTTCTTTTCTGCATACACCCAGTGATTCTACTGTTGTACATGAACCACTGCAATGAAATGTACTCAGAGAGTTCTCTCCCACCTTATATTCTGAATGGAAAAAACCTGAAACACACTTCTCAAAACATTTTTCCACATGGATTATTTCAAGGATCTCTAAAAACCTCAGCACAGGTTCTGGTTTCCATCTGCTCACATACTTCTGTGGCAAAATAACTCACCTGAAGTGCAGCAAGGTAAAGAATTATGTCCAGGTGTCACGCTGAGCAGAGGCTTTTCCTTTCTGGACTTTCTGACATTAAAGCATGAGATGACAATCTCCTGTTGGGCATGTTGTCCAGTGGAGAGACTTTGATCCCCTCATGGTTCTTAACCACTTCTCTCTCACTAAATCAGTTTCCCCTCTTCAGTTATGAATGAGAATGGAAGATGAAAAAGTTGAGGAATGCAGACAGAGGAGTGCCTCCCATCACAGATAACACTCTGGAATTTGTAGAACCTTGCCCAAACCAGGTCACAGCAACAGTTGGATGTGAAGATCTGATGAAAGAATTGAGCACCCTCACCAAAGATGTGGATCCTGAAGTCACTTTCTGCCAAACCTATGGCATGACCATGGCTCCTGGAAGCTGACAAGTCTATTTCCAACTCCCATTTCTCCAATGCTGTGAAATCTTCTTCGGTTTCTCTGTGCTCTGTACTTCCCATCCACTTTTGAATCTGCAAATTATTGCTGAGTGGGCATTTGGTTTCACGTAATTCCTTTTTGCCTTCCGGGGCGGAAGAACTGAATGCTTTTGCACTTTCCTTATTTTCACTGGCAATACGACCAGGTTTTAGTTAAGGGCTTAGTTTAAGCCCTTTAATTTAAGGGCTACAACCAAAGTGAATTACTTTATGTTGTTTGTCTATCTCCCACTGCCAAAGAGGTGCTCGGCTTACAAACTGTATGGCAACAAAAAATCTGAATTAAATATGAAAAATCAGATGTGTTTTTAGGTGACAGTTTTTTAGGTGACAGTTCTGGAGGAGGACAAACTTGCAAAAGTTCAAGACGTTATTTTTTTGCTAATACTACAGCAGTGAACAAAATGAAGGAAGGAGAAGGGAATATAATTGTTTATGGAGCAATGGCTTGCCTGCTGAGAGCTCTTCCATGATTCCTTTAAATAAGAGTTTTGACACCGTAATGGTAATACAGAAATTGTGAGGGTCTGTGAGCTGCTGCTTCTCTCAGCTGCTCTTTGCACCAGAGAGCACCTGCCCCGCTCTGCTTTGCGCTGCTCTTTGCTGCTGCAACTGAGAAGAATGAGCCCTGAATGTTTCTTCCTCTGTGATTTGTCCAAGAGAGAGAGAGCTAGGCACGCTGAACTGCAGAAGTCTGCATTAATTCCAGTGCGAGCTCTCACTCCCTTCCTTTTACCGCCAATCGGCCATGGTGAGCATTTACTGATCCTCCAGCTCTGAGTGAGTGCCGTCCCCGTTTAGTTTCAGTCGCTACAGAGCTGGCAACAAATAGGTGAGAGGTGCAGGGTCGGGCAGCAACACCATCTCTGTTCACCGGCTGTGTACCACCCCGAAGTTCATTCTGAAACGCTGTGGGATGAAAATCACTGTGTGTGAAGGCTTACGGCAGAAGGAGGTTGCTACAGCTGTACCTGCACCTCTTTCAAAGGTCAAGGACTTATTTTTAAGATGCCAAACTACCTCAAGCACCTCCTTTCAGACAGGTGAGGACCTCTACATGGGCTGGGAAGGGTTGCAAGCGGCCCCGCAGGGACGGCAGCCTCGCAAACCTCCCTCCCTCCCCCTTTCCCGCCCAGGGCACGGCCGCCCTCAGCCCGACCCCGCGCCCCTCAGCCCGGTGCAGCGCGAGGCCGCCCGTGCAGGTGGGGCTGCGCCACCGCCGCCTGCCCGTCAGGGGGCAGCACCGCGCCGCCGCCGGGCCGGGCCCCGGGCGCTCTCCGCGCGTCCCCCGGCGGGCGGCCCTGAGTTCCGCTCGGCCCGGGCGGGTAACTCGGCGGCGGGGAGCGGGGCCCGGGGCCGGGGCGCGGCGGAGAAGCGCCGGGCTCGGGGCGCGGCTGCCGGGCTGCGGTGGCGGGCGGGCGTGGAGCGGGAGGCAGCGGGAGGCGGCGGGAAGCGGCCCGGCCCGCTCCTGCCCGGGGGTCCCGGCGGGCCCTGGCGGCGGCTGCCCGGGCAGCGCAGGGCGGCGCGGCGGCGAGCGGAGCGGAGCGGGGCAGGTAGCGAGCGGCGGCAGGCGGGCGGCCCTCCCCCTGCGAGGGGCTCGCTGCCCCCTCCCCTTTCCTTTCTGTCCTTTGAGCGAGAGGTTGGGGGGATTTATAGGAGTACCGGCGGCCGGTGATGTCAGCCCTTGCCTAAAATAGAGAGGGATAGACGGCAAATCCACAGCTAGAAGGCTAAACCTTCCAATCCTGCCTCAGCCAGCGCCGCGCCGATGTGAAGTCACCCCCACCTCTCGGCGGGCACACACACACACACGCACACACACACGCACAAGCGCACACCCCGCGGCGAGACGCGGCCGGCAGGACCGCAGCGGTGCCAGCGGCTCCTCGCCCCGCCAGGCCCGGCCGGAGCGCTCGGCGGGCGGGAGGTGGCGGTGGCGGGGCGGGAGGCGCCGAGCGGAGCCGCCGGTCCCCGCCTGGCGCGGCCCCGAGGATTAGCAGGAACCGCGCGCCGCTTCCCCGAGGCGAGAGAGGGGCACCCACGGAACCACTGCCGTTCGGCCCCGCTGCCCGGGCCGCCGAGGAGACCGGGGGGCTCGCGGGACCATGGCGTCGACGGAAGGGTGAGGGGAGCGCCGGTGCTGAGGGAGGGACGGGGGAGCGGGTGGTCCGCATTGTGCGTCTGCGGCGGCCGCGTGTCGGCCGTGTCATTGTTAACCCTCGGCCCCGCCGCCGGGCAGCGAGGAGCGGACAGCCGCGTTCTAGAGGGAGAGGAGGAAAGGGAATTGGCGTGTGAGCCACTGGAGAGGTTTTGGTTTTTCTCCCGTCGCTTCTTTCTTTCAGCCCCGGAGGGTAAACGAGCGTAGAGCACCTGCCGGAGCGCTGCCTGGGGAGCCGAGCGCGAGGAACGCGGGGTGCGGGGCAGCTCCTCGCCATAACGGCGGACAGCCGGGAGCTGTCCCTCCCTCCCTGCCCGGCCCTGGGGAAGGCAGAGCACGGATCCAACTTCTGCGGGAGTTTTGCAATTCGGGAAATTTGTGCCAAATGCGTTGCAGCGTGAGCGGGGGAAGATGCTGGGAAGGGCGAAGGGTTATACAAGAGGCTTTGAGGAGAGGCACAGAGCCCGGTGGGACAGCGGCCCTAGGACCGAGACCTGTCCCTGTCTCTGCCTGTATTCCTGCCCCTATCCCACAACAGGGGATCACGAGGATCTGCTGAGGAGTCCTTACTTCGCCGGTAGTGGGAGAGGAAAGAAAAGGTTCCCCTGATCTCTGGTTGCCCTCTTCTAATACAGGCTAGCATTAGGCTGCATCTGGTGTGAGCCTCCCCTTTATCCCTAGATGTTGTCAGGTTGTATCAGCGTGATCTGCTCTGGATGGGACTCTCTGAGGACAGGGTGCGAGAGCAAGCTCTGTTTTTATGGCTGGTGTGGCTCTTGGACGCAGAGACAGAGGGGATTTACCAGCACATGGCTGGGGCGTGTGCACACAGGTGCCCCATCACCTGCGCGGCCAAAGGGACATGCTCCTTGCAGAGCAGCTGGCCTGGAGCAGGGTAGCATGGCAGTGCCAGTGCTGGTTCTTCAGGAACAGGGCAGGCCCCATGGCTGGAGTTTTGAGGAGTAAGTTCAGAAGTAGTCTGCATCCCACGGCTGTGGCTCTGTGTCTTTCTTACTTGACCCCACTCTGCTTGGCAGACTCCAGCTGCCCACTATTCCATCCAAAAGAGGGAAGCTGCAGAGCCAGGGGTTTGCTGTGCCAGGGTTTAACGGGAAGAGACCTAATGAGAGGGGGCTGCAGCAGGGGATCTGCCCCATAGGGGATAATGTGTAGAGAAGGAGTAATGCACTTTAGAGAAGCTGACTGAGCAGGTGGCTAAAGGAGATAGGAGCACCAGAATTGGAGAGGCTTCCATAGATATGTGATACTGTTGTCCATATCAGACAGAGCTAAATGGTCAGCAAGACAAAAGGGACACAAAGTTTAGGCCTTGTTTTCAAATTTTTTTTAGGAAATTCACTGAGACAAAGGTCAGCGCTCTTCTCTGGTGCGTTTCAACTGGTGGCCAATTGTAGCTGAGGGAAACCAGTGGAGCGGGATGCGTGTCTCTTGTTAATCCCTTTGTGCTGCTGAGAACCTGAATTGTCATCTTTCCCCCCCCTCAGGTGAGAAGCTGAGGAGAGAAATAAGCTTTACGTACTGGCATTAAGGCCGGCGAGCTCAGGCATCGTAAGGACCGTCAGGGAAACAAATTTGGGACCATCCAGGCTGTTCGAGGAAGGCTTTCCATCGACACCGGTGCAGTGGAAAAGAGACAGGTGGCAGAGAGTGCCCATTGCGGTGTGTCTCAGGCACACACAGGTACACGGAGAGACCCCTGCGAGAGGTGGGACGGGCTGTGTGTGTGCCGGCACAGCATCTGGCGGCTCTGTGGTGCTCAGGCGGTGCTAGGTGAGGTTGGTAGTACATACGGTCACTGTTTTGTTGGGATAGAACAACTCCAATCACAGTCAGTTTTGCAGTGCATTATTTTTTCCTCTAACAGTGCAGTTTACATGAGATCTCCAAATCAGAGATGTCAGGGATAATGATAGGGCACCTAGCAAATAGTAAGGCCCCCATGTATACACAGAGGAAGGCAAATCTATATTACATTCATAAAAGGCAGTCCTCAGAACCAGGATTTACTAGGAAATATTTTCTTGTCTGTACCGTTTTTTTTTTTTCTTTTAATACTTAATTTGAGGAAAGTTACCCATGTTTGGAAATTTGCCACCCAAGACTTCCTGTTCCAAGAAGGAAAATGTGGACAACAGGAAACTTCAATCACCTGAAGATGAGAAAGGGAACATCCCCTGATACGGCAGGGTCAGGCCTGTGGGTCTGCAGATCTGCTTCACTGCAGTTCTAGCTGCTGGCACTTGCTCTCACTGAGGAATGTGCTTACCTTGCCCGCGAGGTCCTCCTGTCACAAAATGCCCTGGTACTCATCTCATTTACCAGGATGGATTTTGGATGTTTAGGTGGTGCTAGAAGGTTCAACGAAGAAGGGCTGGAAGCAACTGTTGGTGCTGTTTGGAGTTGCTTGTTTTCATGTTCACACTCTAAGCAACCCTCCCCACCTCCCCACCCGCCACAGTCACCTTCTCTGAGACTGAAAAATGGTCCAAAAACCCAGCAACATCTGTTCACATTCTCTGTTTTGCACATTGTGTAGTGCTCAGGTAGAACCTCTGGAGGCTGACTGGTTCCATGTGAAGGTGGCAGAGCTTTTTAGCCTTTCCTTTGCTTTTACAGGGTCTAAGAGGACACTTAACCTGTGAGATGGATGGTGCCTGCACACCTTGCTTCCCCATGGGTTATAGCTCTCACCTCTCTATGTAATAAGAAACAGTAATGAAGCATTACTGTTTCAAAAATAAATAGTACAGTGCATTGCTACAGTGTTTTAAAAAAACACATTTGCATGACTTAGAGGTTTTAGATGTTAAATTAGCTTGTGATTTAATCATCAGATATAAAGCCTTGAGCATTAAAGCCATTTCCTTGTTACCCACTGAAGTGGGTAAAAAGGGGCGGGTTGAATATCAGGAAAAGGTTCTTCAGCAGGGGGTGGTGGGCATAGAACAGGCTTCCCAGAGCTGCTGGAGTTCAAGGAGAGTGCGGATATGGGGTCTGATTTTTGGGTTATCCTACGTGGAGCCAGGAATTAGAATCAGTGACCCTTGTGGAAACCTTCCAACTTGAGAAATTCTGTGATTCTAGAAGCAATGATGTTTTAGTACTCTAAAGATCTAGCAACAGTTTTGTGTGCTTTTTAAAAGCGTGAGTTTTGGGACGTGAAGTTTGAGTGTGTTCCTTTAAGAATGCAACCACTAGGAGACACTGTCACTGCATTTATGGCTGTAAATCAGGGAAGCTGCAGGTGTCTAGGTGCTGAGTTCAACCCCATGGGTGGGTTGCCCTCCTGGGCATGGCTGGGAACTGCCTGGGCAGCAGCTTGTCCTGCTATGGGCATTTGGTTGCGAGCCCCTTGTTTCAAGAGACTGCTAACACAGACACAGGCTCCTCATTCCCTTTAGTCGGAGCGCCAGACACCAGTTCAGGGCAGGTTGGTGCAAATAGCAGAGATGTTACCTTTATGGGTAGGTAGTACCCTATATGGCAGGTGTGTATGTGCACGTAGGCACAGATTCTGCTACAGAATAAATGCAGTGAAGGGGGGCAGGACGCTGCCAACATCACGATGTTTGCAAATACAGGAGTCTCTGAGTAATTGCTTAGCATCGTGATTTGATTAGTGAAACAGATGTAAGTGCTTCACAATTTTATGTACACTTAATATAAATGGTGTTTACATAATATGCAATGGCTTGGAGGCAGAGTTCCCGTTTTGTTTGGAGTCACAAATGTGGTGTGTGCAGTCTACAGAGATCACTCTCTTTAGGTTTGCCATTATTGCTAACTCATTTAGCAGGAGAAAAAAACAAAACAATCAAGCCGTGGTCTGTTCCTCCTCTCACAGCTTAACTGTTCTTACTTTCTTCTACTGATGCTCTCTTTAACCCAGGTTTCACTGTCTCTGAAGCTACAGTTACACAGGCAGGTATACAGTCCGTCTATGCCACCTCACCACCACACAGTATGAATTCAGTCCTATAATACTATAATGGGATGATAACAGCAGGGTTGCAAAGTTGGCTACAGCAAATGAGAATGAGCCCAAATACAGCAGCCACAGAAATGAAGGAAAAGAGCTGCTTACCTTTAGAAGACTTCAGGTAGGCAGGGATCTCCAGCAAAATATGCCCTCACTGCCAACCCTTAAATGAGGTCTGGGAAGGGATGGATTCTGGCTCCACCCCTTCCAGTCACTCAGGTGTATTGCATTGCACGCACCTGAGCTCCCCTGGGTTGGCCCTGCCTTCCCACCAGGTGTTCAATCACTGCTTCAAGCCCTGACTTAGCATTTCCACTACAGATCCAGATCAGATGATTCCATGATTAAATTTATCATGATTCAATTTATTTTCTTCAAAATTAGCCACAGCATATTGTATGGTTTTTGTACAAGTTTTCTTCTAGCTATGAAAACGTAATTGTTGATCAGTTCAACATACAGTTAACGTGGGAGGCCCAGATAATAAATACCTTACCCAGCATCTAACCCTGTGTATGCGTGTTACCTGTCAACAGTTTTTGTACAAATTTGAACCTTGAGAATGAATTTATTATACTGGGTTAGTGTTTCAGTCATGTGGCTGTGATGGTTTTGGAGTAGAAGCCCTAAAGTCATCTGCTGGATTGTTAAGACAGAGCCCAAAAGGGAGATTGCCAGCCCATATTATACACGTAGCCTGGAGACAATGGGACACACCTCACTGAGTCAGAAAAACTAGCTTTGCATTTCTTGGTAGGGTTCAGGCACCTACGTAGGAGAGTGGGTGTGCAAGATCTGCCACTATGTGTACACAAGCACACCCACAGTTTTCTTGTCATTTTGAATTTTTACTCTGTAATTTACCCACAAAAGTCCTCAAAATGGAAACGTGATGAAATGTGCTGGCATAAGTATTTGGATATTCAGAGGATTAAATCCTCCAAGTGCTCTCACTGTTATTTTTATGCAGAATTTGAGCAGTACCAACTCTGGATGGAGATGTTTTACCTTATACTCTTTCTCAGACATTTTGTGGGGCAGATGAAATGGATGTAGCCTATTAATTAGACATATCAGCTGTGGCTCTGACTTCATTTCACTGTTGTTGATTGCAAATCTCTCATCAATGATACAGAATGAAGCTCTATAGAAGATAACATGTGTCCCTTAAAACTAATCTCATGACATGGTGACCTCATGACCTTCGGTTTGGCCTTCGGTTATACTTTCAAAGAGAAGTCATCATGGAGACATTAACTCAATTTTTTTAGACCCCCACATAAAGGAACAAATATTAAAATGTTTCTTAGAAAGTCTATAGGGCTTAATCACTCTAAACTTCTTGGGAAAAGCAGATTAGGGAATTGGATCAGATATACAATGGCTGTTCCTTAAAAATGGCTGAAATTTTCAAATTGAGTCTTAGCTCATTGTAGCCTTCCCTGAGATGCATAAATGCATACATACACCCTCCTTGTGAACATCTGTGCAGACGTATATGTGCAAGTACACTGAGAGTTCCACTTAGGAAGAAGTACTGTATTTCTATACTAGCAAGTTACTATATTTAATTTTCTTTTTTATTTTTCCATTTCCCCCTGACAATCTCAGTAGGACTGCTAATAGCTGTAAATACATAACAGTATTTCAAGGGTGACAGTTTTTCCATTAAAAATACTGTTATAAAAACTCTCTTCTGTTCCACCTGCATAGATATCCATTGCTTCCAGCAGTGACCTCTGGCCAGTAGTCACTGCATGCCAACATTTAGTAGGCAGTGAAATCTCACCTGAAGCCTGATATTTCGTGATGTGCTATTATAAGAAACACTCTCAGTATTCCTGGAAATCAGAGATCTTAAGGTCACATTGAAGACCTCAGATTTGTCGTTTCCTGCTTTCCCAACTTGACATTCACAGGGCTAATTTTGATATGAGTCATCCATTCCTTTGCTTAAGGTGTGAAATAATGCATCTTATATCTTACACCTTGTGACATGGGCAATGAAGAACATTCTTAGAAGACTTTAAATAGCTAGTACTACTTTTTTCTTTTGTCATGCACTGGCATTTGAGTTTCAGCAACTTCCTTAGTTGTACCAGGCTGAATGAAATGAGAATATAAAACTGATCAGCAGGAGTGCTCTTGTAAGAGATGAGGCACGGACAAAATAAATATGTAGGTGCAAGTGCTGTTCCCACAAAAGTGCAGATATGCTTTTAGACCATGTCACCCTGTGCTCATACCATGTGTGTCCAGGTGTGAACCTGCCAGGATTTACCACATTGGCCAGGAATTACAGTCATGTGTATTTGCAAAGGACAAGTCACACAGTATGCTTGGTTTTAGCCAATCTTCAGCTTCAGTTAAATAAGTTGGAGAAGGCTCCAGGACTGTGAACTCCAGGGTTTGCCTGTGACCCCTCCTTGCTGTGTGCAGGAGTGGGGCTGGGCCCATGCTTTGCCGCAGCGCTCCTTCTCGGTACAGCCCTAACAAGTGGGCCTTCGTCTTCACTGCCTTCTCATTTAACAACTTTTCATTCTGTGTGATTTAATTCCCTTTCCCAGCCCAACATGTTGCAATACCCACTACTTAGAACGCTTAATTCAATGAGTTCTTGAAAACACTGGATGGATCTGTCAAATCCATCATCTCCGCTATTGTCCATCTGCTAATGAAAGCTCCTCTTTTGCCAAGTCAG